TGTTTAGGCACCTATATTACTGCCGTGCTGTTTCTGTGGACAAGAAAGGTGCGATTTGGCGGCCTAGAGCGAAAGGTTTAGGGTATCGGGTATTCAGTTCTGGGGTTTAGATGCTGGGGCTAGAGCTCTGCGAGTTTTGGAGTTTATCTTAGTTTCGCCTTTAGCAGTGCACGGGCTAGCAGCATCCCTGTCTAATTGCTGGTGCATGCGGATGACTGGGGGAAGATGATGAAGCTCGTCAAGGCACATGCCTGATGTGAATGTGGCCAAAGGCTAAGAACGTAAGAGTATGGCGCCTTTGTAATGAGGGTGCTGAAGACCAAGTAGAACATGATGAAAGTAATGCTGCTGCTGAGGCTGATGATGACGCCGCTGTCCTGCTGACCATGATGACGTGACGAAGATGATGAACAAACTCAACCTCCTCTGCTCAGCCCGAGCTTCTTCATCCTCACCGCACTCTCAACATAGTACTCGTCTCCTGGATGATCATGATCATCGCCACAGTGACCATGAACAACAGCAACAGCAATATCATCGTCGGCGTCGTCGTCATCAACAACAACACTCCCGTCATCGTCACCATCCGTCATCAGCACCATCATCATCGTCACAATCATCCTCACCATCCTAAAGTGGTCCTGGCATGGGGATCGGAGTTGTCGTTCGTGCTGCTACTACTCGCATGTCCTTACTCCATCTTACTGTAGCATTGTTGGCTAACAGTTGCCGACTTCTGCCGAAATAAGTGACCATAGAAGAAACCGCTGCACTGCATGTAGCGGCGGAGCCTCAAACTGGTCGAAGGCCCACCTAAGCAAAGGTAAACAACCTAGACTTCATGTACATGTGAATGCATTAGATACCCGAGCGCATACCTAACCACAGACATACATAGATACACGCATGCGAATCCAGGTAGATGCACAAATACTATCCATCCAGGTTAACAGACAAAACATAGACAGGCAGACCAGACTCCGGACAGGCAGTTGGGCGGCCGGATAGAGCGAGCGAGAGAGAGAGTGAGAGAGAGACAGAGAGAGCGCAGAGAGAGTGTGCCAGATCCAGATCCAGATACAGACGAAAGATGCAAAGCAGAGACAAAAATGCGTGAAGGCACGTGTAAAGCAAAAGCGGAACGAACTTGCGCCAAAACACAGCGGCATCGCGAAGGTCGGGGGTTCGGCCTGGGGCTGAAGGGTTTAAGAGTTCAGGGTTTAGAGGGTTTAGGGGTTTAGGTTGCGGGGTTTAGCTGTTTAGGTGTTTAGGTGTTTAGGGCTTCGCTCTTGAAGGGCCGCTACCCTGGAATTGGAGTCCGAGCAGGGCTTTTTGACATGCACGATGCAATGTGTACTGGTGGACGAGAGACCTGAGCCTGCACCACTGCCCCAGTACTTGGAGGATCATGGGTGGTTATAAGTAGGGTTATAAGTATGTAGGGTAACTATAATTATAACCCATATTAGGGGACTTATAACCCCACTTATAACTACCCATGAACCTCCAAGTAGCCAAGATGAAAATGATACTTGGAGGCCCAAAAAGGTAGGACAGGGCTGCTTCAAGGGTTCCTGTAAGGACTTTATACGGGAGTGATAAGGTACTGAGAGGGTTCTGTAACCAAGGGCCTTATTTATCGGAGTAGGGTTTCGGGGTCCATCACACGATGACTATACTCGGGGCTACGAGGGTAAATCAGTACTACCAAAGGCACGACCGCGGTTTCGAGCCGTGCTTACTAATGCTTCAAGATGCATCCGGAGGCAGCGTAGCACACACACTAAACACACGCGCAAGCCCCCTGAAGCTCCGAAGCGCTGCATCCTCAAGCCTTGCCCGCTCCCACCTCTCGTCCGGACAGCAGGGTGCTGGGGTCATCCCCTTGGCGACAGGACTCCCGAAGCTGGTAAATCTCTGCGGCTATCGGGCATGCACTGGGCATGCTTCGTGGCCAGCAAACTCTACCGGACATGGCTGGTGACACGGGCCTCGAACGTGAAGGTTGCGAACGAGCTTTCAGGTTCCCTGCTACCTTCTGTTTCACTCCGGACCACTCACGAGTGAGTCTTGAATCTTAAGCAGAACAAAATGATGCGAACAGACCACCATCCTGGCAGCTTCTTCCTGTCCAAATTACCCTTGTGTCAGTAGCGTAGCGGTCGCTGCAGTAGAAACAGAAACACCAGAAGCTAAAGGACTTGGCGATAAGCCCATGGCCATTCGAGTGGTAGCAGTCTGCAACGGCTTGGCAAGCACTGACCAATGCCTGACACAAGGCTAGGGTTTAGGGTTTAGGGTTTAGGGTTTAGCAACTTCGACAAGGTGGTAACCTACTTGGAATGGCCTTTTGCGCTTGGCGGGTCATGCCGGAGATCTCGACGAAGCGGCTGAGCTCCAATGCGAAGAAAAGCGGCTCCTGCCCAGTTGGGAAAGGTCACAACCAAATGCTCAGGGCTTAGGGCCTAGGGCTTCTAAAGTTCCCAACATTTAGCGAAATCGATGAAGCCTGCAGATACGCTGCACTAAACGGATCCCCTCAACGACGCTCCAGTCGAATCGCATGCGGAGGGCGTCTCCTTGGGTATCTCTTTGAAGCGCATTTGTAGCCTCAACACAGTTTAGGGTTTAGGGTTTAGGGTTTAGGGTTCAGGGTTTAGGGTTTAGGGTTTAGGGTTTAGGGTTTAGGGTAGCTCTCTGGCTGACGGGTTCAAGTGAAGAGCCTAGGGTTTAGGGCCTTCCAGGCCCAGGGCTTTGGGTTTGGGGTTTAAGGTTTAGGGGTTTAGGGTTTAGGGTTTAGGGTTTAAGGTTTAGGGGTTTAGGGTTTAGGGTTGAGGGTTTAGGATTTAGGGTTTAGGGTTTAGGTTTGAGGGTACGCTTTGAAGCGGGGTTGGGGTTTAGGCGGTTTGCGGCATGTTTCTGAGGGATGGATGTTGAAATGTTATATATATATATGCAATCATCACTAATCCTAACCAGCCGCGATTTACCGTGATAATACTTATTAGCCTAATAGAACCATAACATACTTCAAGCGCGCTGCATAAGCCCAGACCCCTAAACCCCTAAACCCTAAAACCACTGTCGTGCTTGTTCTTCCGTAGGGTTTAGGGTTTAGGGTTTACTTGGAGGTTCATGGGCAGTTATTAGTGGGGTTAGAAGTCTTCTAATATGGGTTACAACTATAGTTACCCTACTTATGACCCTACTTATTACTACCCATGAAACTCCAGGTGGGTGGTTGTCAAAATTATGGTCCCTTTTTGGGTCCTTATTATAATACGGCACCTATTATTTAGGGTACCACAAAACCCTAAACCCTAAACCCTAAACCCTAAACCCTAAACCCTAAACCCTAAACCCTAAACCCAGGTAGGGTTTAGGTGCCTCAGCTCCCATAGCCGCTTTCGGCCCCCCAGGTGCCAGCTGAAGGGGTAGTCGCCGGCCTGCGGAGCGAATTTCCGGGGGGGTCTCTTTAAGGGCTCCTTTAAAGTGATCTATAAGGGGTCGAGGAGGGATCTATGAGGGTTCGAGAAGGGATCTAGAAGAGATCTTTGAAGGATCTAGCTGGGCTCTATAACCAAGTTTATTTGAGCTTTGGCTTTTTTACAACCAAAAGCTAAATAAGGAAATTAGTCCCGCTTCCGCAGAACCCTTCCGCGTCGTGTTGTCGCTACGTTGCACTACAGAACCCTTCCGCGGGTGCAGTTGTAGTCTTGACGAGACCCGTTTCAGGAAACCAGAACGTGTCGGATGAATGAAGAAATCGTACTCGCAGTGTCTGAAGTTCGAGTTTGCGGAAGTAGCTTTCCCATCAGAGTAGCACACCGACTTTTCCTACCCCAAACATTCACACATCCGTCGTTTCTTGCTGTTAGCTTGCCGCAGTCTCTTATGGACAACTGCGGCGACACTTGCGAACGGTAAAGGATCGACCCCCTTCCGTTTCCACGTTTAGTACGCATACATCTTCCCAAGAAAAAAAACCGCAGCTCATTTGGGGCTCAAAATCTAGAGTCCTGAACCTTTGAGTCCCATAGTCCCAGGCCCAGGAAGGTTCTATAAAGTTCTATAAGGCCCTTGAGGTTTGCGCATAGCTTATGAGCTAGTCATTTAAGGGTTTAGGGTTTAGGGTTTAGGGTTCCCGAGCACATCGCGGCAGCAATTGCAGAGTCTGCCACGTGACACAAGGTTCTGTCTCGCCTTCATCCGATCGGGATCGTGCGTCGGGCGATGCATCGCCAGAAGTTTTACCTCAGCGAGGGATGACTGGGACAAGACAGGAGCCTCAGGCATCGAATTTCGAAAATCAGGCCAGGCCCTTCCCATGGAATCCACCCCCCTAAACCCTAAACCCTAAACCCTAAACCCTAAACCCTAAACCCTAAACCCTAAACCCATCGAATCCACCCTTCTAGAAAAAGACCGTGCCCTACATTCGGACCTCATCGCCCGGCCTGGCAAAGATCGTTCTCCCAGCTGCTTGGGCGCAGCTCGCTTTGCTTCCCATCCGGCTCCTCAAACCTGAAAACTCTCGTGACAATCGAGCACAATTGGGAGTTTCCGAAAATTAGG